GAGAGAGAGAGAGAGAGAGAGAGAGAGAGAGAGAGAGAGAGAGAGAGAGAGAGAGCTCAATTGAGGAAATGCCTCCATGAGATCCAGCTATAAAGCAGTTTCTCTATGATCCGTGGGGCAGGCCCAGCCCATTGTGGGTGGGTTCCATCCCTGGGCTGGTGGTCCTGGGTTCTAAAAGAAAGTAGACTGAACAAACTATGTGAGGCAAGCCTGTAAGCAGCACTCCTCCATGGTCTCTGTATTAGCTCCTGCCTCCAGGATCCTGCCCTATTTGAGTTCCTGCCCGACTTCCTTCAGTGGTGAACAGCAATGTGGAAATGTAAGCCAAATAAACCCTTTTCTTCCTAGCTTGCTTTGGGTCGTGGTCTTTCAATCCAGCAATAGAAACCCTAACAAAAGACAGGTCTGGGAGATGGCTCAGTGGGTAAAGACAATCTACCATCAAGCCTAAAACCTGACTTTGGTCTCCAGGACTCACATGATAGGAGAGAGCTGACTACAAGCTGTCTTCTGACATACATGTAGGTACTCTATACCAAAAAATAAGTGGCTAAAAATTATAACAACAGCAATAAGAAGATGAAATAAATATAACTTAAGTTTTGAAAAAAAACTCAATAAAACACTATCTGCTTTAGGCAATACTCATGTATGGGCAAAAACCCTCCAAGGACTGAAATTTCGACTAGTTGGTTAATAGATTATTTCAGTTTCTGTTCTGTGGAAACTACAAAGTATTCCCATAGAGGGGTTTATTGTACCTCTGGATTTCCACCCCCCCTCATGTTTATATTGCTAAATGCAGTCATTTCTGATGCCAATTTTGTGTTTTAACATGACAAAAAAAAAAAACTAAGAAGAAAAAAATTAACATGTAAAAAATTCAGAACGGAGTGCCTTAGAAACAAAGGACTAGGTGGGCCTCTACAGACTCTTTCATGGCTGTGCTTTAGTAAATTAAAAAAAAAAATCAGTGTTTTACAGAGTTGCTCACAGAAATGAGCATGGTGGACCATATGCATAATGCCAGTACTTGGGCAGTAGAGGCAAGGAGGATGAGAAGTTTGAGTCCAGCCTGGGCTACATAGAGAGCTCCAGGTTAGCCTAGGTTACATCCTACCTCTTGTCAAACAAAACCACACCAAACAGGACATAGGAAAGCAGTAAGAGTTGGTGTCAGTATCAATTCTAGGGCCTGACAGTAAATGTAACCAAGACACAGAACCGCATGCTGGTGCTTTAGGAGGCACACCCAAGAGCTTTTGTAAATATGGCCGCCGACTTCAGGTTTAATTCTCTCTCCGTTATGCAGAAATATATTTTGTGAGTTGTTAATAGTGATATAGGCTGACAGTAGAGACATTAAATTCATGTAACATAATTTATAGTACAAGTCTAGGGGTCAGGGGGCTTGTTATGACTCTAAATACATGCCGTGGGATCTGCCATTCTCTGAGTCTCTGTTGTTTGTAAAATAAAGAAATGAAGTAGCATCTCTTGAGTAGCCCCCATTCCACGATTCTGTGGAAGGTCACATGTTGAACAAGTTAGATGTGTTAGCAGGGTGTCCCAACACATGCTTAGACTAAACGCATTTAAGGCATCAAGATGAGCAGCAGGGAGCTCAGGAAGGGCTGACAAAGCGGAAACCCACCAGGTTTTCAGAAATTACGCAGCCTGGGAGCTGACTTCCCTCTGTGGGAAAGCTTTGGTTTTGAAGGTGTCTAGATAAATGTCTCTTGTTAATGCCCGAGAGTCCTGAAGTCTTACGTAGTACTGTGGTTATAAATGACACGGCTGAAACTTAGCACATTCTGACAGTTCGTGTTCTAAGTTCCCCCTTCCTTCCATGGTAACAGAGGGGGTTCCTCATGTACATGAGATGGAATGCAATGGAATACAGAAGTCTACTCAGCTCTGTCCAAACTGTGGGCCAGAAGCGTTGCAGCAGGAAGTGTGTATTTCCTAAGTAGAAGATTTTGAATGTTTGGAGGTCAAAGTCAGAATGACTGTGAAGCTGCACATACATTACTGACACAGCTTCTTTGGCATTGTTAACAGAGGACGGCTATGTAGCCCAGGCTGCCCTCATGGTCAGTGATCCTCCTAACTCAGCCTCCTGAGTGCTGGCATTACAAGTGTGCGTCCACCACCTGTAATGGTATCTTGATAATTTCCTTATCTCATAATACCATTATAAACAAGGATCCTCAGATACAATAGGCTTATAGATTACATTCTAAAGTGTATTAGACCAAGGATGACAACCGAGCTCTCAAGTTGTCCATAAAAGTAAAGATAAGGGCATAACAATGAGCACTTTACTTATTTACTTAGTTGACTAGTTAGTTAGTTAATCGTTTTCTGGACAAGGTTTCTCTGTGTAGCTCCTGCTGCTTTGGCATTTGCTCTGTAGACCAAGCCCAGCTCCAAGTCAGAGATCTGCCTGCCTCGGCCTCCCAGGTGCTTTGATTGAAGGTGTGCGGGATCCCCATTCACTGCTTTAGCTTTTAGTTCCTGGTTCGGTGCCTGACTCAAAGCAGGTGCTTCAAGAACATTGGTCACAGGTCTGATTAGTGGAGATTGACCTGACTACACCAGAACACATGAAGGTCATGTTTATGGTTTTGTTCCCTGGTCACTGGCTGGGCTTGTACATGAATCATCCTGGGCTATTTTATCTGAGGTATTAGAAGACTCTCTCCTCTTGCCATGACTAATACTTTTCTATCTCTGAAATATTGCTTCCTCTTTGTTGATTTCATGCAATAAACCTCAGAGTGCCTTGCCGGATGTGTCTGGTGTGGCATTACACAGGACTGGAACATTCTCTGATGTGACGAGATTAGCAGTACTAACACAGGAATCACTGAAGGTCAGACATCCTGGGGAGGGGGGCAGGCTAGCCTCAGTGGCTGTGGTTAGCACACATGATTCTGGGTTCTCAGAAGTTAGAGGAAGTACCATTTTAACTGAAGAGCTAAAACTATCCCTACACACAGCTGTCTTTTTATTTCTCCTGCCAACTACTCATGTTTTCAGGTCTTACCTTCAACTATGTCCTGCTGCTGCTGCAACTACTACTTGCAAGTAAGTGTGGGCCTGGTCCTTTTCAGCTAAAGAAGGATTATTTCACAGAGGGCAAGGCAAAGATGCAAGGATGGTCATAGGGATGCTGTTTGTAATAGCAACCTAAATGTCCAATAATGGGGGACCAGGTAAATCAATTTGACACTAGAATGGCACAAGCAGTGAGCCTAATTGAACAACCTCATATAGACTGCTGTCGATGACAATGCTACAGAGAGAATCAAGGCGAAAAATCATGTGTGCAATCGTTACCAGGGAACAGCAGCGTGAGGACATTTTTTTTAGTGTTTGGGCTCTAGGAAGGGAAGCTATGAAATGCGAAGAGTTGGGAGAGGAATTATGCTTGCACATAACTTTCATGTGCTTTGACTGCATTGTCATAGATGTGTGTGTTATTATAAAGGGCTTTATTTTAAACTTCAATATAACATATGAGGAATTTCAAATATGCAAGCTACTAGCTTTGTTTTATCAGGGGTTCCATTCATCCATTCATGTGTGTGTGTGTGTGTGTGTGTGTGTGTGTGTGTGTGTGTGTGTGTGTGAGAGAGAGAGAGAGAGAGAGAGAGAGAGAGAGAGAGAGAGGAGAGACAGACTGAGGTTACCCTATCTTTTCTGATTAACAGACAACTAGTCCAGATTAGGTGGGCTATTTATTTTCCTGGCCAACAATGACCATTTTTCTGAGTGTTAACTCCATTAGCTCTGGAGTCACATTAGCTCAAACTGTTTACAATTGGAGGGCTGTGATTCTGAAAAAGGGGGGATGTGTAGTGTTAAGAACCCCACAACACACGGAAACTGAGAGAAATGCAAGTTCCCATGTTCCATCTCAGTCCAATGGTGGCACATATCTTAGGGAATGAGCCTAGGTTGCCCAGGCTGGCTAAAACTCACAAACAGTTCTTCCCCAAGTTCCTTACAGAATTTACAGGCTTAAATCATCATCCTGGTCTGGTACTTTCTTTTCTGAGAGACAGTTTCATCACTTAGGCTAGCCTGGAATTTTCTATATAGTTCAGTCTGGCCTCTAACTCAGGATTTTCCTGTCTCCACCTGCTGAGCTCCAGGATGAGAGGCCTGTGCAATCTTAAAATATGTTTAAATGGGATTTTCTGCCGCCTCTCAAGTCAGAGAATCATTGGCACAGCCAGTTCTCCTTCCAACAGGGCAGCCATCATTTCCTTTTTTATTCTGTGATGCATTGTTTGCAGAAACTAACCCTCACTGTATTGCCCTCCTTTCTTTCCTGTATAGGGTCTTTGGAAGATGCTTATATAGTTGAGGTAGGTAAGAATGCCTATCTGCCATGCAGCTACATTGTACCTACCTCTGGGATTCTTGTGCCTATGTGCTGGGGCAAAGGATCCTGCCCTTTGTCAAAGTGTGGCATTGAGTTGCTCAGAACTAATGGAAAAGATGTGACATATAAGAAATCCAGCGGATACCAGCTAAAGGGGAAAATCAACAAAGGAGATGTGTCTCTGACCATAGAGAACGTGACACTAGCTGACCATGGGACCTACTGCTGCAGGGTACAATTCCCTGGTCTTATGAATGATAAAAAATTAGATCTGGAATTAGTCATCAAACCAGGTGAGTAGACCTTTCCATGTCATTGGTGTCCATCAGCATCTCCTATGAGTCATGATATCATAGAAACAGAGGATTCTCATGTCTGCCTTCCCTCGCTACAGACCTTGGGGTGGGATGGGAAGACATGGATTAGTAGGCCTCACCTGTGAAGCCAGTGGTGCAGCTTGCACATGTTTTCAAACTCAAGAATACGGTCTACAGAAGGGGAAGAAAGGCCTAGACCAGAGGTTCAAGACCCTGGCTGATCATTAGCATCACATGGAGAGTTTCTGTTTTTAACTATCTTCGTTTTAATTTTTTATATGATATGTTTTGATATTTTTCCCCTCTTTCTACTTCTGATCAGGTATTCTCCACTTCCTTACCCACACAACTTTGTATTCTTTCTGTCTCTCAAATGCACACACACACACACACACACACACACACCAAAACTCAAAACAAACAAGCGTAATCAATAATATGAAAAACATCTGACAAAACAAAGTGCACAAAATCAAAGGGAGTATGTTTGTGTTGGCCAACTACTTCTGGGCAAGGGGCTTGCTCTTTAATGTGGCTGGCATATCCGATGACACTCCATTGTAGAAGATGGGATTTTCTCTTTCCTAGATGGCTTCAATTGCAAATAGCTTCTTTGAGGAGTGGGAGCTTCTGTTCCCTTCCCCTTTTCAGTGCTGGGATTTTGTCTGGTTTGCATCAATGCAAGTCTTATGAGCACTATCATTGTCTCTGTCAACTTATATGTAGAATAGTCCAGTTTCCTTGGAGCTATATACTACCTCTGGCTCTTAACCATCTTTCTGTAGAGAGAATCTCTTGTGTACTGTGTGGAAGCATCACCTGTCAAGTAAAAGCTGAGAGCCTATTAGCAAAAATCAGGAAGTAATAGGTGGGAGTCCTGGTAGAGAGATTGGATCTCTGGAAGAGAGTCAGAGGCAAGAGATTTCACCTTGGACTCTGAGGAATTCAGATACGTGAAACTGAGGAGAAGTAACCAACCATATGGCAGACATAGACTAGAATAAATGGGTGATAGAAGTTATGAGCCAATCGGAGAACATGCCAAAGCTATGGTCCAGGCATTTATTCATAAATAACTAAGTCTCAGAGTCATTATTCTGGGAAGAAAGGGACCAGGTAGAAAAGTGGCCACAAAGGTGTCCCACATTAGGCACTAATTGTTGTTTTTAATAAAGTCTTTTTTTATTGGGTATTTTATTTATTTATAATACAGATGTCATCCCCTTTCCCCATTTCCCCTTCCTAGAACCCCCATCCCATCCCCCCTCCTCCTTTATGCTTTTATACCATTTTGATTACATGTATGTATTAAGGTCAGTTCTAGGTTGAGGGTCTAGCAATACAATAGATGCAAATAGTGGAGGGATAAGCAATACAATAAACACAAATAGTCAAAGAAAAAGCAAGGCATTAAACCCAATTACGTGAACTCTCCTGTGATCACTGTTTCTAAGGGCTTATCAGGATGACCAAAGTATCTAAGCCTACTTCCCTGTCCTAGCCCAAGGTCATTTTCATATCTGAAGCCTACTTCCTTGTTCTAGCCTAAAATTTAGATTCCTGTCTGAAATTACTTCTTTGTTCCATCCTAATATTTAGGTTCCTACCTTAAATTATTTCTTGGTTCTAGCCTAACGTCAGATTCCTGCCTGAAGCCTATTTCCTTGTCCTTGGCCGATGTCATATTCTTGCCAAGCAGCCCATTTCCTTGTCCTTGGCCCATGTCAGATTCTTGCCAAGCAGCCCCAAAGGCTCTCCGCCTCTCTCCCTTTTTTATTTCATTAACAAGACTGAGCCTGTCTTAAGTTGTTCTGACAAGAATGCCTTCCTTACCCATCATGGAATATGTATTATCCAAAGCAATGCACTTCTGTCTTAGGTTGGTAAGACTCTGTCCGGAAACTTACCAGTCCTTGGCTTGCCAGCCTGTTAATTTAATAACTCTGTTTGGGGTCCATTTTCAGGTTCAAGCCATGTACTTGGCTGTCCACATGTTGATGTTGTTGAAGAAAAGCTTTAACACAATGGACAGGAATAAAAGTATTCCCAGGATAAAAAGGGCTAGCATGATCAAGCTATATATGCCATTTTTGAAGCTTGACCAAAATAGAAATACTGACCTCAAGGCATGAGTAATTTTATCTGCAGTATCTACCACATCAACACTCAGCAGAGCAGCATTCTTGAAATTCATAAGCTCCCTATATATCTGTTAAAATATTCTGAGAGGTATTAAAATTATGCCAAATAAACTGCATGTGTCATTAAACTTCTTCCTAATTATAATGACTACAACTGTAAATTGTAGAAATCTGGCATGTCAGTTATGGAGGTCTATCAACCAGCTTTTGTTTTAGCATCCTGAGTATCACAGAACCTTGGTATTCTAAAAATATCTTGCAAGTACTGGAAGAAATGAGTCAGGCTTTAAGCAGAAACAAGAGGGTAGTGGGCTTGATTATTGCTGGTACAACCGCTTTAATTACATTAATTGCTAGCACCACTGCTTCTGCCATTGCTATGACCCAAGAAGTTAAGACAGCTACTTTTGTTAGTCTTTTAGGAAAAAAATGTTACTAATGTGTTGAATTCACCAGAGGATTTAGATAGGCATTTGGAAGAATGACTTGGTGCTCTTTATCCTATTCAAATTACTGGAAGGAGATTCAGAATTTAAGGGTAAGGAACCATCTTGAGTGTCATGCCAAATACCATTGGATTCATGTTAGTTTAATAAAGTCTTAAATGTTCAATTTCACCAATAAAGACTGGGGAACCAGATGCTGGGGTAATACCCTGCTAGCTGAGAATGAACTCAGTTGACCTTCCTCCACAGTTGATGTCCCAAAAGATAAAGGAAGCTCTCCTCTCCACATTGTCTCAAAAACTCTTCAAACAGAATGTCTCCCCCTTCTACTTCCTGTGCATCTCTCCATCCATCCTCCTGACTTTTTCTTAATCTCTATGGTTTTTCCTATGTTTACTCCTTGTCAACTGGTTGCTTGCTCTGCATTTTGTACTGTTTTTGACTTTATTTAATTCTGTTTACAGTAAACAGAAAGCTTTCAAATTAAAGGTGTGTGCTAGGGCTGAGTCATACCACAACTAAAAACAGGCTTATCCAGTAAACAGCACAATCTCAGGGTTCACAGTGTGATCAAATATCCTGTGGCATCTTTCCATCTCCTTTTGGTGCTTAGGCCCTACCTAAAAAACAGAAATATATCTGGAGATAGATTCTGAATTTTTTCCCACATAAAAATCTATTTTAGGTAAGCCAGGAATATAAATCACTGGGTTGTATGTGTGTGTTAAGAAAATGTATAGATGCATGTTCATGTGTTTTAAGATAGGTTAGGTTTCAACATAGGGTCAGCTATGTAGCTCAGCAAAAGTCTCTGGGTTCAACTCCCCCTCACTACACAAATTAAAGAATTTAAGAGCACCTATTTTGTGGCCACATGGAGCAGAGTTCAAACCAACTCTCTTTCTTATTAATTTTCAAATAATGGAACACTATTTCAAATGTATGACCTTTTCAGCTGTAAAATATAGTTATCTTCCATATCTACTGAAAGGATTCTATAAGCTGGTGCTTATACAGAGTTTTAATATGACCTCTGATGGCTGTTACTTACGTCACTAATTAGGCTGTAGCAATGGTAAGTGCATCTCACCACTGTTGCACATCTAAAATATGTGCCACGCTCTCAGTGAGTGTGCCCACGTAGATTTGGAGCTGAGGGTATGTGTCTCTTCATTCATCCTCTTTCAGATGTTGTCTTCTGCCCTGTCAATATTCTCCGACATAAACTGTGCTCTTGGAAAAATCTTACTCTTGGGCACTTGCTACCAAGCCTGATTACCTGAGTTTTATCTTTGCAGCTCACATAGTGGAAGGAGAGAACTGACTCCTGAAAGTTGTTCTCTGACCTCCACATGTCCCTGCTCTCCAATAAATAAATGTTTTAAAAAAATTCCCTAATCCATAATAATGTTTTCTGACCCAAGCCAAGGTCACCCCAGCTGAGACTGCTCATGGAGAGTCTACTCCAGCTTCTCCCACATCCCTAACCACTTCAGGAAATGACTCAGGTAAGGCATAAGCACAGAAGTATGTGTTTAGCTCGTATTTCAATGCACAGAGCTTTGAATATGATAAATAGCTAAGAAAAATCACTTCTTTTCTCAGCATTTGTAATACTGTTTGAGGTGAATGAGGTGGTGGACCACATTCTAGTCTCCTGGGTTAGGATTCTAAATCACAAACTAGCCAGGTGAGCTGAGGCAAGGCCTTTCAGTTCTCTGGGCTTCTGCTTCCTCTTCTGTCCAAAGAGCAGGGCCAGGAGACTTCAGATATCTTGTCTCAGGAAAATGCTCTGCCCTTACCATGGAGAAATTATTAGATTTTGCTACGCAAAGGAAGAAAAATATTTACTATTGCCATCATTTAGAAAGTCATTTGGGACTAGAGAGATGGTTCAGCTATTAAATGCCAAGGCTCACAACTAACAAAGGCTTTAACTTACTTTAAAATTTTATTACATTCTCTGTCTGTCTCTCTGTCTCTCTGTCTCTCTGTCTCTTTGTCTGTCTCTCTGTCTGTCTCTCTGTCTGTCTCTGTCTCTCTCTCTGTACTCATGTGTCATGGATGGCATGTGGCAGCAAGGAAAATACTTGGAGGCACCTGCTTTTTCCTTGTACTGTATAAGACAAGAGGGATCAGACATGGAACCATTTAGCTGCCTCTTACATAAAATTTAATTAAAAAAAGACTTTAATAAGAAATTGTTCTATTTTAGTTAAATATTAAGTTAACGAAGCCTAAAAGGAAAGGCTCACAACATCGTCTTCATTATTTTCTGATTTACACTGAGCAGGCAGTGTTGCTTGTATCTGGGGCTAATGGGTTGATTAGGTGCCGTTCAGGTACCCTTTTAGCAGGATGCGGACCATCAGCTTCCTCAGATTCCAGCCGCATAAAGGGGAACTGCAATCCTCATAGAGCACGAGATTGCAAGCTGTCCGGGGGTGGGGGTGGGGTGGGGGCAAAACAGAACAGGAAAGGCTGTCCTTGAGCACGTTGATCAGGGATGTTAATCTCATCTTACTTCTGGGTAGTGTTCTGTTCCTAAAACTCTAGGAAGCACACTTTATTTTCTATAATGGGAGGGAAAAATAGTTTAGTTCCATCTCATCAGGGCACACATCTCACAAACTACAACTTGTGAGATTTCAGTAAGAAAATGAGTCCAGCGTGTGGTCACAGTGCATTCTCACTGTGCATCAGTGCCTGTCGCTAATACTGTCAATAAGGCCAGAGGGCAGCGGGAGAAGTAAGCTGGGTCCTAAATCTCCTCCGGCGAATTCCGAACTCAGTAACATTGCTTCAGCTCTTGGAAGTTTAGGTTTCTCATCGCTGCAGTGAGGCTTCCAGAGCCTTCCTCAGAGGGCTGTCGTGAAGATGAAACAGGGTGAGACATGTGGAGCCTGTAGCGAAGCAGCAGGTCCACAGACGGCACTCAGCTATTGATCGGCGTTTTTATTACTGAAGTTATTAACTTTACCTGCCTTGGTCAGTTGCTCTGTAGGGAAAGGTAGTCTCTATTAAGTCATTAGCAAGGAAATTAAATGCAGTGGAAACCTACGAACACCCGCATGGTGTGGACTAATGAAATTCTGCCAGACTTTCACTGTGTGCTGTTGTGTTATTCAGAAGAAGGGATAGACATGACCTAGAAGGGACCTCAGGGCTCACTGAGCCCACTTTCCATCAGTATTGACTGACATCTGTGTATGCTCACAGGAGCAGGGATGCAGGCATGGGGACATCCTTCCTCACAAGGCAGAGCATCTCCTTGTACCCATCTATGCCATGAACAGATGTTTCCTTCCCTCTATATTTTCTTCTTGATATTTCCGCCTAGGGCAGCAAAAACAGGCTCTTCTCTTCCATCAGGCAATGTTGGCACATTACCTAGATTGAATCTCCAAGATTTTCAAGAGCCAGATAGGAAATAATTAAACAAACAAGCAAACAACAACAGAAGATAATATTCTAAAAATAAGAAAATCAATGGGAAATTGAAATTCATTGCCATTTAAAGGCTTGTCTACAGATGTTATACTCTGCCAGTGATTGAGAAGTCATTTGAATAGCTATGTATGCTTCACTTACTGTGAAAGTGACTATATTGACTATTTGAATGTTACGAGGGTGGAGCCTTTGAAAGTGAGAATGGAATTTCCTAAACTCACATGAAACAGAACAAGTGTGTTCTTCTCTTATCGCAGGAGACAAGACTGGATCCCAAGGGAGTCTTCATCTCTGGAGAAGGCCTGCTCTGAGTCCCAGAGCTTTCTAACCCATAGTCTGTGTCATGGGTAGAGTTCTCTAGCATTCTATTTCTGGGTTGTTGTGTTAGTGGCGGAGATATAGCTCCTTGCCATCAAGGCTGAGTTGGATCTCAGGTCCCCAAATGATTGTCCTCTGACCTCCTGGCCCTGCTCTTTGGACAGAAGAGGAAGCAGTGGCCCAGAGAACTGAAAGGCCTTGCCTCAGCTCACCTGGCTAGTTTGTGATTTAGAATCCTAACCCAGGAGACTAGGATGTAGTCCACCACCTCATTCACCTCAAACAGTATTACAAATGCTGAGAAAAGAAGTGATTTTTCTTAGCTGAGTTGGATCTCAGGTCCCCAGATTGTCCTCTGACCTCCGTATGATGTCACACACCTTCAATCCCAGCACTCAGGAGGTAGAGGAAAACACATCTTTGTGAGTTCAATGCCAGCTTGATCTATATACCAAGGATAAGGACATCTGGGGCTACATAGAGAGACCTTGTCTCAACAAAACCAAATCAAACCAAATAATAAAAAGATTAATAGTGCTAAGAACCAACCTGGTACCTAAGTGGCAGCAGGCAGTAACTGTCGCATCTATATTCATTAATGGCCATTTCATTTCTCCTTCCTACAGTCTGGGGTTCCCTGGAAAAAGAGAAATAAAAAATAATGTTACAGACATCTCTTGTTCATGTTTGTAGCAAAATGAAATGGAGGCAGGGAGTAAAGAAGTCAGGGCTGGAGGTTTACCTTAATTGGCAGAGTCTTTGTCTAGCATACATGCAAGCCCTGAGTTTGATCCCCAACACCACATAAATCAAGCGTGGTGGTCCAGGCAGGCCTGTAATCCCAGCACTCAGGAGGATCAGAAGTTCAAGGTCATGCTGGCTACTGGGAGGGTCTGAGTGCAACCTGGGGTACAGGAGACACTGTCTCAAAAAGGAAGAGACAGATGACAGAGACAGACAGACAGAGACGGAGAACAATTCAATCTCATCACTGAGACCAAGAATCCTAAAGATGGGGAAGCAGAAGTGGGATTTCTGTGTGGTGAAAGATTCCTGTTTACTTTGAAGCTCCACCTCTTGTGGTTTTAATGCTTTAAATGTCTTTCAGGTAATGAGAACAAAGCTGGAGCATGTTTTGTTTGTTTCTTCATAAATAATTTTAAGCCAATGCAGTCTTTACACCGTTTAAACCACAGTCTGTTAAACTCAGATTTCCTGGAAGTCTTTATGGACCTTGAAGAGTTTAGCTTTTGAAGGTCCAGAAAGGTGACTGTGACTTTTCACAATCTCTGACTCAGGCAGCAAAATGAATGAGTTTCTTTTGTTTTTCTGGCAGCTGACAGCTATTTGTCTGTGTTAGTTTGATGCTGCTTGTCACCAGGTCCCTGCATGCGACTTGAGATTAGGACTGCTATGCTATCAAAGGTCTTCGAGTTTGAGATTAGTCCCATTGCTGAGAAGAATGATCATTGGGATTGGGGTGGTGGGGATTGCATGGAACCTGTACATTGTTTTTGGTAAGAGAGATATTTTCATATTACTTCTGCTGATCCATGAGAAATCTTTCTGCATTATGGTGTTTTCTTCTATTTAAAATGCTAATTATACATCTTTTTTTTTTTAACTTTCTTGGTAAGGTTTACTCCTAGGTATTTTATCTTATTTTTTAAAACAAGATTTGTGTACTTATATTTATTTTATGTGTGTGAGTGCTTTACAGGCGTGTCTGTATATACTGCTTGTGTGTCTGGTGCCAACAGAGGCTAGAAGAAGACTCTAGATCCTTTTAGACCAGAGTTATAAAAGATTGTGAACCACCATGTGGGTGCTAGGAATGAGACCCAGGTCCTCTCTAAGCGCGACAAGTGCCTCTAACCAATGAGCCATCTCTCTAGCCCCTAAATCATTTTGTTTTTGTAAGACAGGGTCTTAGTATGTAGCTCTGGTTGTCCTGGAACTCACAGTGTAGATCAGGGTAGCCTCAGGCTCTCAGAGATCTGCCTACCTCTGCCTTCCAAATGCTGGGCTTAAAAGTGTTTGCCACCACACCAACAGTATTTTGATGTTGTTGCAGCTATTGTGAAAGGATTGCTTTCTTGATTTCCTTCTCATTGTGTCATTGTGTTTGTTATTGGCATATAAGAAAGCTATGAGTTTTGCGTATTGATTTTTTTTTTAATCTAAGCATCAACTCTTAAGAGTTTTCAGATTCAGTCTTTAGTGTGTCCTACATCCACGATTGTGTCATTTGCAAATAGAAATGCTTTGGCTCTGTTTTCTATTTGTATCCCATTTATTTCTTTCTCTTTTCTAATTGTGCTAGCTAAGAGTTCAAAAATTATGTTGAATAAGAATGGAGAGAGTAGACACCCCTGTCTAGTTCCTGACTTTAGTGAAAAGTTTTTTTTTTAATTTCCTTCATTTATTGTAACATTGGTTGTAGGGTTGTTGTATATAAACTTTATATTGAAGTGTGTGTTGTTTTGTTTTTTGAAACAGAGTCACATGTAACTCATACTACTTTCAAATCTGCTTTGTAGTCATTGATGAGCTTGAACTCCTTCCTGATCCTCCCGTTACTGAGTTCTGAGATCATAGGCATAGGTTTCATGCTTAATTTATTCAGTACTAGTGATCAAACACAGGGCTTCTGTGTATGCTAGGCAGGTACTCTAAGCATTGAGCAGTTCCTTCCACAGCCCCTATGTTGAAATATGTTCCTTCAAGCCCTAGTTTCTTCTCAGTTTTTTTAATCATAAAGGTGTGTTAAACAGACCCTTCCTGAGTCTACTGAAACTACCAGCTGATTTTGTCCTTGGCTGTATGTCCTGCCATGTCCTTGCACAGCTCCAAGGACTTGACTTCACCAAAGCAGTGAGGAAATGAAGAACAGACAAACACAGAGACACACAGAAAAGCTGGGATTGAGTAGCCTGGGCTCTTGGATGGTGTAGCCTCAGCACCTGGGAAGCTCAGCATGTTTATTATGCAGAGCTGAGCAGGGAGGTGGGGTAATTGCATATGGCTGCACAAGGAGGCAGGTTCAGCTAATCTCAGTGTTAGCAAGCTCTGGAAGGGAGCAGCCAGCAGCTTTGGCACTCCCATGGGGCCCTTGACATGGCCAGACCCATGTTAACACACATTCACTCGGGTCTTCTACCAACTTTAACCAAAAGTCCAAGGAAGCTATTTAACCTATTTATGCGGTTGATTACAATTATTAATTTGCATATGGTGAACCGGCCCTGCTTCTGTCAATGAAGCCATTTTTATCACAACACAAGCTATTTTTATTATTGAGTTTGCTTTGTAAGCTTTTTGTTTACTGTTATTGTTGTTTTTGATGCAGGGTTTCCCTGTATTGATCTGGCTGGCTGTCCTGGAAGGTTCTCAGCTATTTTATTGATAATTATTTTTGCACTAATTTTCATCGGGAAGATTGGCCTTTCGTTATTGTCGTTATGTCCTTAGCTAGTTTGGATATCAGGGAAGTCAACATTGGCTCTATACAACAACAGCATTTCTTCCATTTATAGTATATGCAATAACCTGAGGAACATGGTATTAGTTATTTTTTAAAAATGTCTGGTAGGGATTGCAAGTTGGTACAACCACTCTGGAAATCAGTCTGGCAGTTCCTCAGAAAATTGGACATAGCATTATCTGAGGACCCAGCTATACCACTCCTGGGCATATACCCAGAAGATGCTCCAACATATAACAAGGACACATGCTCTACTATGTTCATAGCAGCCTTATTTATAATACCCATAAGCTTGAAAGAACCCAGATGTTCTTCAACAGAGGAATGAATACGGAAAATGTGGTACATTTACACAATGGAGTATTACTCAGCTATTAAAAACAATGAATTTGAGAAATTCTTAGGCAAATAGATGGAACTAGAAAATATCAACCTGAGTGAGGTAACCCAATCACAAAAGAACACACATGGTATGCACTCACTGATAATTGGATATTAGCCCAAAAGCTTGCAATACCCAAGATACAACTCACAGACCACATGACGCTCATGAAGAAGGAAGACCAAAATGTGGGTGCTTTGGTCCTTCTTAGAAGGAGTAACAAAATATTCATGGGAGCAAATACAGAGACAAAGTGTGGGACAGAAACTGAAGGAGGGGCTGTCTGGAAACTGTTCCCCCCTGGGAATCCATCCCATGTGCAGTCACCAAAGGCAGACACTGAAGTAGATGCCAGGAAGTGCATGCTGACAGGAGCCTGATATAGCTGTCTCCTTAGAGGTCTGCCAGAGCCTGACATATACAGAAGTGGATGCTCACAGCTAACCATTGAACTGATCATGGGGTTCCCAACGGAGGAGTTAGAGAGAAAACTGAAGGAGCTGAAAGGATTTGTGGTCTCACGAGGAAAGCAACAATACCAACCAACCAGAGCTCCCAGGGTCTAAACTACCAGCCTGGAAGCTCCCAGGGTCTAAACTACCAGCCTGGAAGCACATAGAGAGGAACCCATGTCTCCAGGTGTATATGTAGGGGAGGATGGCCTTGTTGGCATAGGTAGGAAAGGAGATCCTTGGTCTGGTGAAGGCTGGATGCCCCAGTGTGGGGGAATTTGAGGGTAGGGAGGTGGGAGTGGGTAGGTGGGTGGGTAGGGGCACATCCTCATAGAAGCAGGAGGAAGGGGGATGGGGTAGGGGGTTTCTAGGTGGGGGGAATGGGAAAAGGGGATAACATCTAAAATGTAAATAAAGTATCCAATAAAAATGAAAAAAATGTCTGGTAGAAATTAGTAATGAACACATCTGGGCTCAATTTAGTTGGAAGACTTTAAAAATTATGGCTTCAATTGTATTGTTTGTTATAAATCTCCTTAAGTGGTTTATATTCGCCTGGTTTAACTTTGGTAGGTCACATGTATTTAGAAACCAGTCCATTCTTTTAGATCTTCATTTTAGTGGAATATATGTCTTTTAAGTATGCTATGGTGATTTTCTGAAAGCCATTTGTAGCTGTTGTAATGTCTCCCTTTTCATCTCTAACTTCATGTACTTGAGTCTTTTCTCTCTCTTTTGGTTAGTTTGTCTAAGAGTTTACTGATTTGGTTTATCTTTCTATGGATTCTTTGTACTTGTCATTTTGTTGCTATTTCGTTACTTTCTACTCTAATGTCTATTGTTTCCATATGTTATTTTGGGTTTGATTGTTCTTGTTTAACTAAGACCATGAGGCACATCATTAAGTTATTACTTGTGCTTTCTTTGAACTTTTAAATGTAGGCCTTTACATACCTATAAGCTTCCCTCTTATAGCTGCATTCATAATATTCTGCAGGTTACCATATACTATATTTTCATTTTTATTCAATTTGAGGAATTTGTTAATTTCTCTCCCAATTTCTTAGATGACCCACTTATCACTCAGTCCTGGTGAATTCATCTCTCAGTCATTCATTTTCCCTGAGTTTGTGTTTTTAGGATAGTCCTTCTTAACAGTAAATGAGAAGGTTCATTAAAAGTGTTTGGCCAAATGCCTGATTCCTGGTGAACGGTAGCTGTTGTTTCCATTTGGATACAAATAAGTACCTTGCCACTGAGTAAATGTTAAACCTTTTCAAGAGTTTTGTGTCTTTGAAAGTGTAATCAGAATATGACTGGACATTATCAATGTTACTAGATTGCTGTAGCACTCACTGGGCCCTCTGGACAAAACCAAGAACATATCCAGTATAAGCTTTGCAGTGAACGAAGAACAAAAAAAAAAAAAAACAAACAAAACAACAACAAAAAAAAACAAGCGAAAGGGAAACATGACAGTTCCTACATTTGGTGGAGGAAAAGGCTTATTGTAGATATGAAAGAGAGCATAGCCAGAGGCAGAGACATGTTGAGAGAGTCCAGAGTGAACATGATACTGAGCTAGGCCATATGTAAAGTAAAAGGGTAAAAAAATGACTGGTGTAGTCCAGATGGCTGTATTATATAGGGAAGAACCTCTGTGGGAAGGGCAGCCCAGGTCCTGGGATGGAGAGTTTGGTATAGGAGCAGGGGTATTCTAGTCATATTCTGTAGCAGGTAGGGACTGAGGATACTGAGAGAACCTGGTGGCCAGGTCTGTTCTGATATGTTAAATAGGCACCTTAGCCTTTTGTCCTGGGGTTGAGACCTAACAGGTAATGGGATTATTATCTATATGAAAGGCCATCACCTTGAGGTTGGTTTGTACGCATTTGGAGTCTTTTGTTGGTGTTCTAATTATTGTGGAGCATACAGAGAAGAAGAATTAGTAGTGAAAAGGCCACTGGTGTGTTGAATTCTTATGTCCTCTTTAATTTGGAGTTTAAAACATTGTTAACTATTGTCTACTTCATCCCCTTTGTATTTGTGCTCCTAGCAGAGACGCAGACCCTGGTGACCCTCCATGATAACAATGGAACAGTAAGTAACTTTTGTGTATATGCTCGCTTTGAGCTTGGGTAGGCTTCCTTTTCTAAACCCCATTTGTGGGAAAGCTTTTTCCCTCCTTGGCTTCACACTCTGTGGCTTTTGTGTGTTGACAATGATATGTCTGACCATATAGGCCTGTTACTGATAGAAGAAGGATAAGACTGTGGGATGCCTGGCAAATGCAGAGTGTGGAAAAGCCCCAAGAGGAAATGAGCAAACATCCCTCTTTGCAAATGTCACAAATGCGTATTACTGTGGAAGGTTCCTTAATGTTCTCTTCAAGTTTTCCACTTGGATTTTGTTGTGGTTTTTGAGGCAAGCTGTCATGTAGCCCAGGCTGGTCTTAAACTTACTATGTAGCTAAGGATGATCTTAAACTCTTAATCTTCCTGCCTCCACCTCCACAGTGCTGGGATGTTCAATTTATATTTTGTATTTTTTTAAGTCATTTTTTCTGTAACAAGACACCATTCAGGAATACCCAGAACCACAGGCTTATGCACTGAACTATTATATACTGAACTAGAAAGAAAAGAAAAAACATTAAAAAGCCAGCTAGCAGTGACAACTTGAAAATTCTTTGATGACTGGATAGTGAAATTTCTCAGAGGCTAAAGGCACTTGTCACAAGGCCTGACTGACAGCAGGTATGATTCTTGGAACTCATGATAGGAGAGAACGGACTCCTGGCAGTTTTCCTCTGATCACCATTCCTGTGTCCTGTCTCATGCCCTGGGTATACACATATGCACATACATAAATATACCAATAACAAATAGGTGATAATAATAAAAACAACTCTTAGGTCCAGGTCTTGAAGCCTGCATTCAATTAATTCTATCTCTTATGTGTGCTCACAGTCAGTGCCTGGCATCTTGATATTGTCTCTTCCCTCTTTGGGATAGTGACCACATCTAAGAACTCCTGTTGCCCACAAGTGCTTAGAACATGATGCTTTGTACACAGGACTCCTAGTTTTACAGAAGTCATGTGTATTGATTAAATGAAGGACTTAACTTTCAAGATTTATTGCTTTTATTGTTTAGTGTCGTTGTATTGCTTTTAAATGTAGTTTTTATTTATTCTTAGATTATTTTGTACATGCATTTAATATATTTCAATAATATTCACCTCATCCCCCTTCCAACTCCTCCTAGATCCCTCTCATGTCTCCTCCCAAGTATGTGTCTTCTTTTTGTTGTTGCTCTTCATAACATACTGATTCTAATTAGTGCTTTCCATATATGCATGGGTAAGGTTTGGTGTTTTGAAGTGGGGTTTTGATATGTAGTTCATGGCCTTGGATTTACTGCTTTCCTGCCTTAGCCTGCTGAGTACTGGGGTTACAGACGTTTATCACCATGACTGGTTGGCTTATTTGTTTTAAAAGTATCTCTACTAACATTGTCTTTGAAGGTGGAATGTGGACTTAAATTTTAGAAATAGAAGGATATTGTATGTGACTCTCTGGTATCAGAAACGAGAGAGACAGCAATAGTATTTACCACTGACTGAGCATTTATTGAGAAACAGACTCTTTGCTAATTTTCTCAAGAACCCCACAGGGCCACTAAACCCTTAGAGACATGAAATTTAAACCCAGGACTGTGTAGTTGCAAAGTTTTGGCTCTTGCAACACTGCTTCTTTGTGTGTGGATGGAGGTTTCCCTGAAAGACATCAAAGGTGGACCATTCTAAAACTCCCTCCCTCTGAATACAACTTTGAACCAGGTAGGTTCTACTATAAAGTCTTGTTAGGGATGGGGACAGGTGAGATCAACTGTGACTGTTGTATGCACAGCATTGAAGGGAGTATCTTACTTCCTTGTTAGCTACAAATATTAAGCTAATCCATTTGGTGACTGAGGCTTGTCAGAAGAAGACAGATCAAGGGTGGTTTCATTATTCCTGCCATCCCAAGAAGTCATAAAAAAGAGTGGTCTGACCCTTGGACCATGAGACTAGTTGAGTATATAACCAATTTCTGGACATCATGATCTTGAATCCTGTTTGTTTTTTTTTCCCCAGAAAATTTCCACATGGGCTGATGAAATTAAGGACTCTGGAGAAACTATTAGAACTGCTATCCATATTGGAGTAGGCGTCTCTGCTGGGCTGGCCCTGGCACTTATCCTTGGTGTTTTAATCCTTAAATGTAAGTTGCTAGATGTTGCTCATCTTTCTTTCTGATAAAAAACTGTTATTGGACTGGAAAGATGGCTTAGCAGTTAAGGGCACTGACTGCTCTTCCAGAGGACTGAGGTTCAAATCCCACCACCCACATGGCAACTCACAACTGTCTGTAACTCTAAGATCTGACAGTCTCACTTAGATCTATGTATAGGCAAAACACCAATGCACATAAAATAAAGGCAAACAAACAAACAGAATTGTTACTATAGGAACCAGTGCAAATCTAGATAGAAATACAATCTTTCAAGTAGGCCTAAAGGTGATTAGACTAGATACTCATTTGTTTTTATCAAATGCTGCCAGTTCTGATAACTAATAATCATTCGAAGTTTGTATGTGTCAGGCAGACCCTATGCCCAATGCTTTACATTCTGTCATCATCATCTTGTGACCTAGGTAGTACTATTTGTTCCCAGTCTAAGGCAGAAGAAAATAAAGCTTGCTGAGAGCAGCTGAGTTCTCAAAGTTTCATGATGAGCAAGACACAAAGCTGGACCTTTAAGTCCAGGCAGACAACCAGGATTGGCTGTCTTTGGATATAAAACTAATTTTGGGGCTGACGGGATGGCTCAGTGGGACAAGGTGTCTGTTACAAGCCTGATGCACTGACCCAGGGCATTTGATCCCAGGGACCCACATCGTACAAGATGACAGACTTCTTTCCTCAGACTGTCCTCTGGCCTCCACATGTGATTGGAAGCACTTGAGTACCCCGACCTCTCCTGTCTTATCCTATCCTGGCATGGCCTCCTCTCTCTTCCCCTTCCCTTCCTTCCCCTCCCCTCCTCTTCCTCCTGTCTCCTCTCCTCTTTTCCTCTTCCCTCTCTTCTCTGTTTCTCTTCTCCCCTTTCCCTTCTTTTCATCTCTTCTCATGTCCCGTCCTCTCTAATTAATTGTTCTGTCTCTCTCTAATTAATTGAAAAAGCTATTCTATGTAAGGTAAACATAAGCCCATGCATATTAGGAAACCTAACACCACCACTTCTCTCTATGTGGGTTTCTGTGTTGCTTTCTGAAGCATCTCTCTTTAACACTGAACCATGATTGAAATTCCTGAGCTGGGTTTTCTCCTCATAGCACTCAACACACATAGTTGTTTGTCTTTATTTAAGCAAACAACTTGGGATCTGGGCATGTAGTACAGTTATTAAAGTACTTACATAGCATGCAGGAAGCTCTGAAGATCCATAAATCTAGGAGTGCTGGAATATACTTGTAAACCCAGACCTCTCTAGAGCAGTGGTTTTTAGCTTGTGGTCACCTATCAGATATTTACATTACAATTCATAACAGTAGCAAAATTGCAGTTATGAAGTAGCAGCAATATAATTTTATGGTTGAGAGTCATTACAACACAAAGAACTGTTAAAGAGTTTCAGCATTAGGAAGGTTGAGAACCACTGTTCTGGAGGTGGAAGCAAGAGAGTCAGACATGCAAAGTTATCCTTAGCCACACAGTGAATTCCAGGCCAGGGTGGGCTGAGGGAGACCCAGTCTCAGGAAAAGTTTTTTCCAGTTTGGTTATTGTATGTGGAGATCATTATCATACTCAAGATCCAAATGTTCCCATCAGCCCAATGCCTTGGACACTTTCATAATTGTGATATATTCTCTTTTCTCTGAGAGCAGAGAAGGCATTAATTAGAGTGTAATGCATTATATGAGCCTTTTCCCTTAACATACAGCAAGGATGATGTCTGTAGGGTGATAGGCCATCTCTGGTGTTCACAGGACTGAAGGAAGTTGCTAAAATATGGAATTTCTATTGGTAAAGTTGTAACCGTCTGAGAATAAGCAGGATGACATGGTCATGCCGACTGTGAACTGAAGTTGCCAAGGGCTTTAAGGAGGAACAGGTTCTGTAACTATGATACACAATATCAAATATACTAGATACAATTGATACCTGGCTGGGCAGATGGGTTGATGGTCTCCAGGTATGTTAATCAAACTGGAAAAAAAATAACTTTTCCTGAGGGTTTCCTGCAGCCTATCCTGACCTGGAACATACAAGTCCAAATACATACCAATGTATTTGGAACATGTCCAAATCGATGGATATAGGCATTGAAATCCACTTTACTTCTTCTATTGGTTTTCTGCCATTTTTTGGTAAATGGGTTTTTCCAAGAAAGAACAACCCCATACATACTCACATTGGCTTGCCCACAGACTGCATTTCAACTCTGGGGACTGATCACTTGATTATGAAATTCAGAGGCCATTAGATGATGAGAAGAGAAATGATAACACGCACTACTTTTGGAGTTCTTCCAAGATCTAGAAGTTAGAGATTTACATAAAAGATAAGAAGGAGCTGGGTATTCTTTGTTTAGAATCCCATCCCATGTTGGGAGTTCTTTCTCTTACTCTTTTTTTTTTTAAATAACATACACTTTATTCGATGTATGAGACAGAAAACAGACTTAGACACTATTATTTTTTCTTCCATTAATTTATCTATTCAGTTTACATCTGGATCACAAATACTCCCTGCTCCCAGTACCCCCTTATATAGCTCTTTTCCCCACTCCCCCTTTCCTTCTCTTCTGAGAAGGGGGAAGGGCCCCTTGATACCAACACACCCTAGCATATCAAGTCACTGCAGGAGTAGGCACATTCTCTCTCCCTGAGGCCAGACAGGGCAGCCCATTTAGGTGAACAGGATATTCAGAGGCAGGCAACAGAGTCAGGGACAGCTCTCAGACAGTTGTTGGGGGACTTACATGAAGACCAAGCTACACATCTACTAGATATGTGCAGTGTGGAGTGAGGGCTATGCCCAGCCCATGTAGGCTCTTTGTTGGTTGGTGGTTCAGTCTCTGGGAGTCCCCAAGGGTCCAGGTTACTTTGCTCGATTGGTCTTTCTGTGGAGTTCCTATCCCTTCCAGATCCTTCAATTCTTCCCCCAACTTTTACACAAGACTCCCCTGGCTTTGTCTGATGTTTGGCTCTGGGTCTCTGCATCTGTTTTGGTCAGCTGTTGGGTGGAGCCTCTAAGAGGACATTTATTCTAGGCTCAAGCTATGTCTACAAGCATAACAGAGTATCATTAATATTGTCAGGGATTGGTTCTTGCAAGTGGGATGGGTCTCAAGTTAGGTGGCCATTGATTGACCTTTCCCTCATTCTCTGCTCCATCTCTGTCCCTGTATTTCTTGTAGGCAGGACAAATTTTGGATCGAAGGTTTTGTGGGTGGATTGGTGTCCTCATCCCTCCACTGAGATTCCTACCTGGCTACAGGAGATGGCCACATCAGGCTACATCTTCTCACTGCTAAGAGTCTTAGCTAGAGTCACCCTTGTAGACTCCCTGGAGCCTGCCTCATCCCAGGATTCTGGCATGTCCTATACTCATTCTAATCTCTAAAAGAGGCATGGGTGAAATTCAGTTCATATATACTGATACCTTTCAATGCCTTTCATAGATTAGACACCTATAGATTAAACCATAAAGCCAAAAATAATTGAAAATTATTTATAATTAACATGTATAGGTTTTTTAATCCCTCAAAGAAGGCAGCATAACAATTATCTATATAGGATTTATATAATGCCCATCAATAAAATTAATGGTGTTTCCAAAGCCAAGAGAAGACATTTTAGAACAAAGTATGGAGTTTACTTAGGATGCAATTGATATTAACCACAACAAAGACAAAGCTGTCTGTGATTATTAGTAAAATGGGGACAATTTCGGCTTGACAAAAATTGTATCTATAGTGCTTCAAAGATAGAAGTGAGATCAGCAACTCAGAAGAAAAATATAAAAGAAGAGATGAATACTTGGCAAAGGAAACTGACCTTTGATATTTCCTTGATTAGGAGAGGGCTGAAGGAAGTTAAGCAGTGGTGAAGGATAGATGGTCATCTACGTCAGTAGACAGTCATTATTTAGATAGTTACTCTTCTGCCTATTGTTTAGAAGCTGAAATTCCTTAGGATTTGGCCTCTTTTTCTTTGGTAAATATTCTAGTTCATAACATATATTCTATGAACTTAGGTATTCTCTTTAATCCTTTCAACTCTTAAAATGTCTGTGCAGCTTTTCCCCCTGTTCAGTTGATAGCTCCACTTTGGAGGTTCGTACATTCATGTATCAGAAACAAGGATCCTGTGTCTACATTCCACTCACCAGAACCCAACTCTCAGGCTCTGGACTTCTCTGTCACTTCACTGTTGTCTTTCTGCTTATGCCAGAAATTCAGAAGTCATCTCAGACTATCTTTCTAATGTCTTAATATGTAATCAACTTCAGTCTCAGTCTCTGTACAAAATATATCTCAAATTGCTTCATTATTCTGCATTTTACTTGGTCAATCATTATCTTTATTTGTTTCTTTATTTCTCTTTCTTCAGTTCTTTACATAGTAGTTAGGTTGGACCATACTGTCATTTAACGATAGCATACAGGTCTTCCTGTTTTATACCATCTAGATTCTTTTTGTTGTTGTTTGTTTGGTTTGTTTTGTGAAGACAGGGCCTTGTGTATTGCTTGCTTGCTTGCTTTGGACTCTTGATCCTCCTGCCCCCACATCCCAAGGGCTGCAGTTACAAGATTATGACTGAAAAGGTCTTTAGTACCCAGCCTCAGCTTACCCCTCAGATGTTATTGGAAGTCAATAACATCTTGTTCTAGTCATGGTTTTTGGTTTTGACACCAACCTGGGAGGGTTCTCTGTTCCTGTAATTTTCCCCCTAGCTCTTGATATAAGTGACTCATTCTTTTCTTTCAGAACAGACCTCAAAAGTCATGTCCTAACGTGCTCTCCTAACCTTCTCTAGTTTTGTTTTACTATGGTGCTAATTTCTTCTGATAATGGATCACAATTTGAAATTCATTTTTTTTTGTTCTTCTTTCCCTCCTTGTCTCCCTCCACTCTTCTTCCTTCATTCCTTACTAGGATGTATGCTTCATGGAGTCAGAGCTCACAACTCTCCCTGTGAGTCCCTGGTGCCTATCAAACTGCTGCACATACATGATAAGCCTCATAATATTTGTTAAATAAGAGCTATGCATTAATATTACTTTTAACATAGTCATAAGATAGTACTGGTTATTTGATTTAATTTGTTAGAAGGTAAGACCAAATTTCACTAGCAACTCTCACCTCCAATCAGTCCATTTTATGCCAAGGACCAGCCTCAGCTTAGAGAGAGTTTCTGAGGAAGGGATGTTTGGGAACAGTAGAAGAATGACTTGAAGTTAATCCTGGGAACAAGCTCTCCAGCTATCTCCAGACAGCTCAGCTCTTGTAGTCCAAAGGCCAGTCTTTAATTTTTATAGCATTTCAGTAGTCTACACCAGGTTACCTTTTGATTATCTTATGAATCAGCATTTTATGATTGTACCTCTGATTCTTAGAAAAGACAGCAAGTACATTTTTTTAAAAAAAAAACATAGCAACAAATTTAGAGGTCTGCCTGTCTTTGTAAGCACAGACAATAAGCTAACTGGGTGGGATCTGGCTCTGAGATCACCATTCCCACTCTGCCTGGGCCTAAACTGGCTCTGTCCCAGGCTGACCTCGAACTCAGGAATCTGCCTGTCTTTGTAAGCACAAACAATAAACTTAGCTGGGTAGGATCTTGCCCTGTGATAACCACTCCTCAAATCTCTTTATCACCTTCCTTAATATCTTTCTGACAAGCTGGCTTCTAGTGAAGCTGTCTGTGTTCATTTAGATGCATGAAGCCCCTCACATAAGTCATATTGTATTCTTATATTTTGCATAGTTGAGAAATTATATATTCTTGAGCTTATGTCTTCAGAGTTCTTTACCACAGCCTTAAGGGCTGTCCTAAGGGTCACAGTGTTCACCATTTTGCTGAGATATGCCCTCATTTCCTGGACTTATGCTGCTTCTAATTATCATGGAGTCATTAACCTTGGCAGGGAGAGCATTCTCTGAAAACTTTGGTGGGGAGAATATCTCCTGAAGGAGGATCATAAAGTAAATTATGTACACTATTATACAACCAAGCCTCATGCTTAGCAACCATCAACACTTGTGGAGGCTCATATCCTGCTAGCTTTCATCCAGAGGTGGGAACTGTGTCACACTGTCCCTTCTGCATGGCAGGACTTACTTGGCAATTTTATTTCTTACTTCAATTATCTTAGAAAAGCATTCTAATGGATTTTTCTGCTCTCGTTACTTAGGGTATTCCTATAAGAAAAAGAAGTTACAGAATTTGAGGTAAGAATAAAGGAAGAGAGAATTGGGAAAATGGGGAAAAGGTATTAGGGAAAGGGGAAGAGGGTATAATGTAGCATTATTACTTCTCTGAGAAATTCTGAGTTGGAACTTTGAAATTTTAGGTTAGGCTTCCTTTGTTTATAAAGGGAAAATTCAATAGTTGTCCCCCTGTACATTTAGTTTCCTCTGTTCTAAAGCTGACATGTATAATTTACCTCCTTATTGTTATCAAATACTTATACTTAACCAACTGAACCTGTAACTGAGGGTTTGCTAGTTTTATGTTGCTATTAAATTGATAGAGGAAAACAAACAAACAAACCTCAATTAGCTATGGTCAGGATTTTTATAGCCCAGCCTAGGCATTTCCTACTGTGGCAGAATATCAGCACGACTTGGAGACTAATCTGGCTGATTGACACAGAACATACTTAGAACAACTGAATCAGGATTTTGCGAGATGAAGTCTGAGGAGGTATTGTTCTCAAAGCTCTTTAGGTGATCCTCATTACTTCACTCCTGACTGTGAAGTCACACACACACACACACGCACACACACACACACACACACACACACAGATTTTACAGTTTCAGTAAGATTTAATACATGAAAAATTGCAATGCATTTCAAGGGAAAATATGATTATCTGCTGAATAACCATAGGAACCACATCTCAAAATCAACAAAACCCAGAATGTTCCAAAGACAAAATAATATAATGTGAAAAGTCATATAAATCCAAGTCTGGTATTCAATTACTAGTACCATTATTCTTCATTAGAAGTGAAACTGGAAACATAATTCATAGGCAACAGTGACAGGCGTCAATCCAGTATCTGTGAAATGTGCTCAATGTTAAGCTCTACCTGTCACTGTAACCCTCTAGTGTTGACTACTATGACTTCAGCACAGTACCTGATAAATACTAATAATCAGTTCCAATCAATGAATGACCTTGTGCTCCTCACAGCAGCCCTGCTGCAGGGCTCTCATAATTCCCATTTCTACAGATGAGAAAACTGAGGTATGAGGTTTCCTAACACATAGCTTCCATGGATATATGTATTTTGTTCATTGCTGCAATCTACAGATGCACAGGACAGTGTGTAACTGTCTTGAATTAAAAATTACATATGCACATGAGTGACATGAAAACAGATGGAAGACTATTTGGGAAGAAGAGATGAAGATGTGAATGCAGACAGAGTTCAGAATAGACAGCCATGAAAAGGTCACCATGAAACCCATAGTTTGTATTATAAATATAAAACGTAGTACTAAAAACCATTCAAAATCCCAAACCAAATGAGCAATCAAGCAACTAACCTCAAATAACAACAAAGCCAACCAACCAACCAACCAAACAAACAAACAAAATCAAACAAGTTGACCCAGACTGTGATGCTGGGAAGAAGGAAGTCCAAATCAAGTCTGATTAAGTCTGTATAACACATTCACAGTTTCCTTTTGAGTTCACAGAGGGTTGAAATAACAGTTCAAGGGACATTAAAGTCCTTCACCTTCACTTCCTACTTGACACTTGGAACATCTATGTTGTCTAATTCTCAGTAAGCACAGGGCTTCTCTCAACCATTTGTAAATATGTTGTATGCATTTTGACACATCCTAAACACTTTGGCTTCAGAATTGGGACCTATTGTTTTCACACCTAAGTCAAATAAAAGCCATTTTCATTTCCTTAATTGTTCCACAAATTCCTGTCTGGGTTTCTTTCAATAAGCATCTAGTGAAGGATCATGAGTGTCAACTGGCTGCTGTCCTTAGTGGAGTATACGCTTTGAACTCCAATCTCTGTTGTCTGGAAAATTCTTCTATCAACTTCATCACTTTATTGTTACAGCCTTATTACACTGGCCAACTTCCCTCCAGGAGGGTTGGTGAATGCAGGAGCAGGCAGGATTCGTTCTGAGGAAAACGTCTACACCATCGAGGAGAACATATATGAAATCGAGAATTCAAATGAGTACTACTGCTACGTCAGCAGCCAGCAGCCATCCTGACCACCTCTGGGGTCCCATCTTTAAAGACTCTCTTTCATTTCTGACGTTGGTATTTTGTTTTTGAAAAATATGAGATATGTTGCCTGGCAACCTCATTGGAGGTTCTGTCTACAACCACTGAGAAAAGAGTTCCTGTTTTCTGTGGATAATTAACTCACAAGGGGATTCAACTGTAACCTATGCTACATTGAAATGCGCCATTTTACCTGAGTTTCAGGGATAGGATCTCCCAACCCAGAGACTGCAATCATGGATGTTGAAGCTCACATGTGCTTTCATTCATTAGGAATGGTTAGTATGATGTCTCTGGAGCTCTGAGACGTTTAGGTATGTCCACAAAGCTCCTGAACAGGTGGGGGAAATTAAGGGCTAAGATAGGTAGGTGCAGGTCTTTGTTGATGCTAGGAATCTAAAGAAGCTGGTGGTTTTCCTAGAGATTTCTGACCTTGAAAGATTAAGAAAAAGCCAAGTGGCATGTGCTTAACATTACATAACTTAGGAACCTCAGGCAGGAGGGTGGTGAGTTCAAGGTTAGCCAGGGCTATACTGATGAGAGTTTGTCTCAAAAACAAAATAGGAAAATAAATATATAGACAACAGGAAGCTGGAGATATGGCTCAAACAGTGAGATGCTTTTTGTACATGAGGAGGAACTTGAGTTTGATCCCAAACCCAACATGAAAAAGCTAGGCATGGTAGTGCACGCTTGTAAACTCAAGAGATGGAGAGGTAAAGGCAAAGAAGATCTGGGGCTTGGTTGCCAGTCAGCTTAGCCTAGATGATGAGTTCCAAGTCTGTGAGAATCCCTGTCTCAAAACAAGATGGACTGGGTTCCCGGGGAATGTCAATGGAGGTTGTCCTCTGCTTTCAGTAGACACATATGCGCGCACGCGCGCGCGCGCGCGCACGCACGCGCGCACACACACACACACACACACACACACACACGCGAGGCCACACAGGAAAGAAATAAAGGAAGGAAAGAAGGATCAATCAGAACAGGGCTAAATGATAGTAACAGTTCTTTCTGTGCCTGCTGTCTCTCTATGATGTGTATGTCTACAGGACTCTCCTCTGCCTCTGTTAAGACTGATTCTGAATGGGAGCATGGTGGTGCAGACCTGTACTTAATTCCATCACTCAGAAGGTTGAAGCAGGAGCATGGAGAGTTCAGGAGCATTGTGTCCTACACTGCCAGATCCTCTTACATAGGACAAAGGTTGCCTGTAGGCAGCCTGCTGACAGTAAAAGGAAACTCTTTTTGAAAGCCAAACTTTGCCTTTTGTGTGGTCAGAGGAAACTGACTCAGACAACTTCTCCAATTCTGGAGGAAACTGGAGCTGGGTTTCTGACAGAAGAAGAACCGGTGACTGGGACACACGAAGGCAGAGCTCTTGCAGCAATCTATATAGTCAGCAAAAGATCCTTGGGAGGACAATTGTCAACAAACTTAATTTCCAATCTGGCAGAGTTCAGTTTTATCTGGCTTACAACTGCTTGCCCAGTGCCTTGGTCTATGTTGGTTCCCATATATATCAGAACTGAAATAAAGTGACCCAGAGTGAAAATACTAAGAGAGCAGAAAGGTAGCTTTGTTGAAAGACTTTTTGCGTTGGGGAGCTACTGTGTATGTCAAGGGATATCTGTTAGCAAAGACACTGAAACCTGCCTGTTTGGTTACATTTTTTTCTTGTATGAATTTTGTTATTTAGGTAGCCCTAGAGGTACTGGCTTTCTTAGGTGGGTATGGAAGGGAGATCATCTGACAGAATCAATTAGAGGTAACGGCTCTCATGCAGATGGGAAAACTAATCTCAAAAGTTTTAAAGTGATAAAACTGTACTGGCAAAGTACTTCGAGCATGTTTAAACCAGATCAAAGGTTTCTTCCACGGAGGTCCTTATCTGACAAAGTCTTTAAACAACGGCATATATGCAAAGACGATCACTGCTGTGGTGTTTGCAGTTTTTTTTTTTTAAACATCAATAGGGGGATGGTTGATTACATGGTGTTACAGTTTATATTGATTGATAACTTGACAGATATAAAATCACCTTGGAGATCAATCTCTGGCTATGTTTGTGAGGCATTTTCTAGATTAGGTTAGGTGAAATGGGAAGATCCACTAAATGTTTTCTTGTTTCTTGTCCTCATCAAAGAAAGTAGGTCAAGATCAAGGTCACCAGAAGGGGGCAGTAAGCTGGAACTAGAACCCTTGTTTTTAGACCTGTGATCACTTAAAATCAGGTATTGGGATGGAGTTGGTGGTTGGTACAGGAAAAATGAGGGAGCTAAAGGAGGTAGTAAAGGGGGCCAGGAAACTGGCACTGTATGAAAAAGGGTCTTCCCCTCCCCCGCAGTCTTTGATGGAGAAGACAGTCCTCGCTTGTCCAAACTGCTTTATTCATGGTAGATAAAGACGCATACAACTTACTCAGGGTGAACCAGAGTTTAAATACCGTTTGCAGGAAGGAATGCCTAGGAAAGGATACTCATTGACTAAACACTCAGGCCCCCTACGTAGATATGTTAGCATGGAGAACTCTAGGCTCTATGCTAAGTGACCGGTTGTGGCTGTCATAGTCCTCTTAGTGGGGTGTTCCCTGACAGAAACCTGGTCGGGAGCTAGTTCAAACTCCTGCCATTCTCAATTATGAGTTTTATCAGGGTTCTGAGGTTTGCTACAGCCTTACCAGTTCTTCTGTCTGGTAGCATGGTCCATTGTCCCACAAGAACCAGCCTGGGTTATGTGAAACCGTCAGAGAAAGAAAAAGAGAGAGAGGAAGAAAGAGAGAGAAAGAGAGGGAAAGGGAGAGGGAGAAGGAGAGAGGGAGGGAGGGAGGAAGGGAGGGAGGGAGGGAGGAAAAGAGAACACACCATAGGTTAGGTGAGTCATGAAAACATGGCCATGAGGGCTGGC